AAAGACTCTAAGGACCCTAAGAACAAAAAGAAAGGTAAACTAACCTTGGAGTATTCTTTTGTTCTTTCAGTTTAGGATCGTTATCTTATATTGGTTCTGTACAGAATACTAAACACATGCAGTACTAAATGTCTGTTGTGTCCCAGTCCAGTAAACTTTGTCAGAGATCACATTCAATTTCTATTGTGAGAGAAGTAATGAGTCTGCAAGAACTTGATTGCTGTCCTGTGATGCTATCAGAGCAAACCATGGACAGTATTACAGTCCTAGGTTTAAGTCCTCTGCCATTTCAGTGTTCCTTATCCCATGTGAAAACAGTTGCATGGGAAAGTGGAAAAGCAACGTAAGGTTTTGCTGCTTTCAGGAGGTGCAGATCCATTTCCAGGCGCTGAGAAATCCATCCTTCTGTACAGATAGGGATATTTTACAGCTGACATGGTCATGTAGCTCCATGTCTTGGCATTCTTTCTCTATGCTGAAGAGCAGTTGACTGCTGAAATAAATGTAATATGAGAGTGAAATGCTATTTACTCCACAAACTATAGCCTACTAAAGGTGATGATGAAATAAAAAAGTGAGGTCATCAGACAAAAAGGATATATTTCAGGGAGAGTACTGATTTGGCAAAAATGTAAAGATGTCCCTAAATGTAATTATACTGATGTTTATTTTTGCTTTTTTGTTGTTATTTTTTTCTTCCGCTTTGGTGTAGAGGAACATCCACCTGATCTGGAAGATCTCAAGCAGAAGGAGACCAGGATTACTTGAATATGCCCTAGAAAATGAGATGTTTTGTTTTAGTATCAAAGTAATAGTGTTTTCAACCCTTAATAAAGCTATTGATTTTGCTCATTCTGTATTTCCTATACGAAAAAGCTAGTAACACTGAAAGTCAAAACTGCTTGTGGCAACTCCTGAATAATAACGCCAGTCTTCTCATATTAATACGGCATTCCTGGGGAGGGATATAAAGATACCGGTTACATGCCCATCTCTCTTTAGAGGTCAGTCTTAGAATATTATCTGGATTAAGAAGAGAGTGTTGTAATGCATGAAACTGGTATGGAGTGGCAAGCTGACTCTGTTTCAGTACTGGGTGGTGCCATAGCACAGCAGAGCTACTCTTACTGAGGAGGATGGCTAATTCCCTACCAGGCTGCAGAGGATTGGGGGAAATCTGTTGTTGGGCAGTTTCTTTAAAGATATGCTTGACAAAAATACAAAGTGCTTGAGGAAACTGTGCTAGTGTTTTCTCTGGCGTTGTTTCTCTCTGCAGTATATCACTGCACCACAGACTCACTCTCTGTGATCTTTGGATGACCTGCCTCCCAAGGTAGGTGATTTCATAATGCAATTTCACTCTGTTTCCCTGTAGTGTAACAAAAATAAAACAAACAAACATCTAACAGTTTTCAGCAGCTAAGTGCAAAGTGAGAGTGAGAAGCTAAAAGAATGTCAATAGAAATCAGTATCACCCATAATAATGCAATCACTGGTCATTTTCTTTTGGGGCTGTGAAGTCCATGTAGAAGAATTTCTAAGAGCTACAACTAGGAGGACTGGAACTTTGCTCCTGAACTAGAGAATAAATATTATGAGTGGTAATTAGAAACTGTGTACTTTCAGGATCCCACATTTTTCTTAATTTCATTAGTCCTAAAAAAGGTTTCACTTAAAATCCAAGTGTAACATGGACATGGGCGATCTCATGAATTGCCGAAGTACTTACTGATGGTCAGATATAACTATATGCACGAGCTTTAAAGCCTGATTTTGTAACCATTGCAAGTAGCATTGTATTACAGATTAATTGGTTATAATTTTCTAAGTAAAAGTATTATGATATTTTTGATGTGGAGCAGCAGAATGATGGAGACTGAATAGGGCTCTCTTTGCCTTCCAAATCTGATGTGTATCTGCTGTTTCTTGATAGTATTTTTATGAATAGTGAAGTTATGTATATAGACATTTTAACAAAGACAAAACCAGCTTCCTGCTACATGAATTTAGGGGCACTGTCACAGCTGAAATGTGCATGTGACAGATCACATAGATCCTCGTGGCTGATGGTGATTATGGAGAGAGCTGTGCTCTGGAGAAAGTTAGGCTTTCATAGGGTGCTTCATGATTTTGATTTGAAGGGTAATAAATTCCTTCCATCTCCGTGTCATGGACAGCACAACTGCTTTCAATGTCACATAACGTTCTAACAAAGGGATACATACTGATAAAACTACTGTATTTAACAGTAAGCAATCAATGCATCTGCAGTAACCGTAACTGGCAGCACCAGAACAAGATGAGCATAAGCAAAATATATGCACTGCAAGAAGAGGAGCTGAGATGAAAAAGAGACAGCAAGGGTTAAATTCCACCGAGTGGGACAGTGGTCAAGAGCACAGTGCATGGATTTGGGCCCCGTCCCTTTTCCATGTAGCAGCTTTGTTGTAAAGATGTTCGAAGAAGCTGGAAGTTTTGCTTTTCTGTTGGAGAAGAGACAGAAGCTCTGGTTTTAAATTTTAATTTCTATAGTAGCCTGACAGGTCATTGAATCAATAGCTGTCAAGCATGGATATTGCACAAATAACTGCTATCTGTGCCTAAAATGTTATAACAGCTATTTCATTATTATTGAAGGTCAAGATTATTACCTTAGGGTCAAATTACAGATATTCATTCAGAGGCCTGTGTGTGATGTGACTTTGTCACATAAACGTGGATGTTTTGATCAGCTGATTGGCTGCTTATTTCCACTAGTAAATACTTAGATCCCTTTGATAATAATTGTTTGTTTGGTTTTGTACTCCTAGACTTTAGCATCCTACAGAAAAATTTCAGCACGGGATTACCCCAGACCTACCTGTAACGTGTCTTTTCCCCAATGTCTAAACTGCTGGTGTGTATCATATACCCAAGCTGCATGTTGCTGAGCCAAACTCAATTTTCCTTTCTTCTTTCTATCCCTTCAAAAATCTCGGTTAGGGCCCAGGTCAGCTAGAAGGCGGCACAGGGATTCATTCTTACAGGACTCCTCACAGTGCACTTGTGGCTAGTGAAAGCATCTGTTCAGGGCTGGGTGCAGTTCCCAATCTGCAGAGCAGACCTTCCAGACCCAGGGAGAGGGAGATACCTTCGGTACTAAAATCAGGGACCACAAGATGGTGCTGCAGGAAAACATTTTTCCCTCGGTGGTTTTGGTTTCTGGAGAGCTTTATTGATTTCTGCCTTTTACAATGTGGTTCATCAAGTCACAAAAAGGCAGATAGTGTACAATAGAGCAATGGTCACTCAGTAAAAAAGACAACATAATACAGAATATGATGACAAGGCTTTAGAAGACTTACAAGATATACAAACCATTGCTTGTGGCTTTAGATCTGCTCTCTCTCCTATTGAACTGATACCGAGTGAAACAAAAGAGCTCTCAGTGAAACATCCCTCTTTATCTTCACAAAGATTAAATAAGTACAAGGCTAAACAACCTGCCCCAACGCACAATAACTGTGTGTCTCTGCTACCCTGGAGACAGGAGCTATGACAGGGCTTCGGCAGTAGTACAGCTCTTTCATCACATCACCTGGAGCCTCCACCATGTCTAATGGCAAAGGGTTTCTCTCACCTTCTGGTTCCTCTCAAACCTAACCCACACCTTTAACCACATTCTGAAGATGAAGAGAAAGAGTCGAGATGATTTTTGGAAAGGTTTAAAGCAACATGAAACGAGTGCATTACACTGCAGGTAATTGCAGCAATACCTGGTACTTCTCTCCATCTGACCTTTAGAAAGCTTTCAAAGTCATGAGAACTGAACTTAAAAAATAAATACAACAGAATGAAACCCAAGCTTCTCAGAGTTATAGCAAGAGAACAGATTTGAACCATAAAGCTCAAAAATCCAACGCCAAATACAAATTCATGTTTAAGCAAAATTCCTGTGACTGGGGAACTCGTCTCATATTTTTGAAGACTTGAGGTTCGGTTCTGAGGCCTATTTTACCCAGCTGAGATTCGTGCGATGCCAGGTAGTGCAGATTTAGGAGGAGAATGTACTTCATTGCTCAACAAATGTTTTCCTTTGGCTCCATGTAAGAGATGCAATTTTGAAACGTTATGGTGGTTTTGATCCTTTGCCGACCTAGGCTTGGATGCACATCTAAAATGAAGTGCAAAGGTCTCCCTGGAAAAAGTGTTTCATGTTCTCCTGCAAGGTCCCAGTGGAGCAACTGGTTCTGTCCAGCTCAGTTTTTCTTCTCATCTTTGTGCTCCAAAATGTATTTGTTCTTGCAACACACTGGAAAAAAAAAAACAAAACAAAACATGGTTTCTGCCAGGTGAGAGTGAAAACCTGTCCGCAGCTGTACTCTTCTAGCCTTCTAGGTTTCATTGTACTGCTTCCAAGTCCCTTCACAAAAGGTCTGTTCGTTACTGCACTGCTTCCTTGCAGAATCCACCATCCTATATGTATCTCCTACCACGCAGATAAATCTTTGAGTGTGTGTGTTCCATTCTGTGTACAGGTAAGTGGAATAGAGCTTCATTCTGCAAGAGCTGTTTTTCTGTAGCACCAACCACCATCATTACCCTGCTCACCTTGTGGGTTTGGTTGTGGCAGCTGAGATTCAGGCAGTGTGGGAAGGATGATGGCAATTCTGCAAAGAGCTGCCCTCTAAAAGGGACTGTGGCTACAGATGCTATGGACATGCAACATCCTTGTTGTTTAAACCCAGCAGCAGCCAAGCACCACCCTACCCCACCCAGGGGCTGGGGGAGAGAACTGGGGGAGTAAAGGGAAGGAGACTTCTAGGTTGAGATAAAACCAGTTTAATAATTGAAGTAAAATAATAATAATAGTAATACAAACAGGTAATATGCAGTATCGTTGCTCACCAGCTGCCCAACCCGTTCCCAGCTAGCAAACCCAGAGAACAGATCCCAAAACTTCAATCCCAGAAGCGAGAGCGCCCCCCTGCCATCCCAGCTGACCCTTCTCTAAATGCTGAGCAGGACGTTATATAATATGGAATAGTTGATTGGACAGTTTGGGTCCGGTGCTCTGGCTCTGCTCCCTCCCAGCTTCTTGTGCACCTGCACATGGGCAGGACATGGGAAGTTGAAAAGTCCTTGATTTCTCAGCAACAACTGAAAACATCAGTGTATTATCAACATTCTTCTCATTATCAACTTCATCACATACTGAATCTAAAACACAGCACTATTCTAGATACTAAGAAGAAAAATCAACTCCATCCCAGCTGAAACCAGGACAATCTTATCTTGCTGATTTTCCAGTATGTGATTTTTTTCAGTCTGTAAGGCTGCAGATCATTGGCTGAGTTAAGGAATTTTCTGATGCATCTGATTGGCCTGCCATTTAGCACTGCACTCTTGCTCAGCCTCCCAAGTTTTTTACTGACACTCCAAGCTTTTACCGTTTTCTTGCTCAGGTACTTGATCCAGCACTAACATGCATCATCAAAATGTGGAATGGAGGAACTAAGCCCACAAAAAGGACAGATAACATCCTGTGCTTGGGGCTCATGGCACTGTTAGGATATATGGGGAGATAATACACAGATATAAAGTGTTCTCACATACATTTCCTAATAGGAAAGCCCTGCCTCAGTTAAATGCACCAGGTAGGTAGCAGAATTACTGAAAAGCAATTTCTTCAATTAAACATTATCAATTGCAGTAGCTAAGCATATAAGAATTGTTGTTGGCTATGTGAAGCCTCCTTTACCATCATCCTCGAGGAAGGGCAGGAAAAAGTTCATTCCCATTCCTAAACTGGGTGCACTGTTAGCTGATACTTCAAGTTATATTCTAAGATACCAAACTGATAACTTCAAAGAATGACAGAGCTTGGTGTGAAGGAGAGGGAGCTCTTATGGGCTGTATGAACAACTATCAGAAGGAAGGAAACCCGAGAGCCTGGGGAAAAGCTGTTATTGGTATGGTGTTGACCCGTTATTTTGGTGATACGGTAGGTGACCAAGATCTAGCTTTTGAATAGCAGATAAGCATGGCAAATTACTGTTATGGTCCTCCTTATTCATAACAGTCCTACAAATGCTCTAAAATGACTATGGTTAAACCATGAAACATCTGGGGTTGGAACACAAGTAAAGGCCAGGCTGTGCAAGCTGGAAAGGAAGAGAAGGAAGATCATGGGAAAAATGACCTTGTGAAAAATGATGTGGAACATTTTACCAGGATGCAACAGAATCTTATTCCCATTTGGCTTTTGCAATTTATTTTTGTTAGTGTGATCACATATAAAAGTCTGTCACAGCAACTGCTACAAGCATTTATCTTAATCTTTTATCAAGAAGCTTGCTTGTTGTTTTTGTTTTGGTTTGGGTTTTTTTTTAAAGCATAATTACAATTAATCATAACTCATCAGTGCAGCTATCTAGGAAGCAAAAGGTTAACAGCAAATTCTGTTTTACTGGTTAAAGATGCTACTTGCAGCATTTGCTCAAATCGTTGTTTTACACATGCAGTGGCATCATCCAGTTTAAATCCTGCTGTGTTTCTTTGCCAACAACTGCTAGTGAACATTTGCCCACCTTCCCTGCTGCTGAGTAGTATCAGGATTAGATGCAGGGAGGCGAGCAGGCTTACAACTTCATCTGTTGGCACCACAGGAATGCAGGAGCAGAACAGCATGGCAATAGGGAAAACTTTCAAAATCATCAATTTTAAGGTCTTACCTCAAAATGGCTATTTCCTGGCTGGGGGGAAGGGTATCTTTCTCCAAATGTGCAAGGAAAAAGAAAAAAGCAGCAAGAATAAAATCTCTCTCAAATAAAGGCATGATGTGCATTTATTTATTATCCAACCTAGCAGGCAGGTGGATGTCTGCAAAACTGTACTGGGAAGTAGATTCTGACATGGGAGCAGTGCCTGTCAAGAAAACACTGGTCTTATCTGGCTCTGTTGGGAATAAAAATTTGGGGAGATTTAGTACATCTTGGACTTTATAAAGATGATGGATAGCTTGCAGCAACAGGCGCTTTCCTCCCCTCACCAAAGGAAGCCACTTTTCCCTCAGTACTTAGCAAAAGTCTCTTTGAATGACATGATTATAGAGAATCGCATTCTGAGCAAAGAGACTGATAGAGACAGACGGATGGGTTTTCTGAGCATTTGTATTAGCTTTTGCCTGCACTTAAGAACAGCTGAAATCTACTTCCTGAACTCCATACATTCCTTATCTGCAAAGTTATGTGCCTATATCTGACCTTCTCAACCACTTATATGTACTTACAGGGCAGAGGAGAGGGAATGTAACGTGCCAAAGGGCCAAAAGACAGGAGTCACTCCTCCCATTGCGTTCCTGGGCTGCAAGCTCCCAACATGCTGGTTAGATCTAAACGGTGTTGCTACAATGGATGAACTGGGCTGCACCCCCTTTCCCCACAGAGCTCTCTCAGCTGGCTGTCAGAAGACAGCTGAGCTGGGAAGTGGGGGCAGCAAGCAGATACAGCTTTTTAACACTAAGTGTAGCATTAATGGTTCCTCGTAGGTTTTTAAAGTAGCTGAGTACAGAGTTAAACATCCCGTCCTGTCTCTTCTCATTGTTTGTCCTCTGTAAACACATGGCAAGCATCTCCTTTATTAACTTTGAATTTGAGTCCCCTGTGATTTGTCTGATGATAACGATGCCTGTGCTTCATAGTTGCTTTAGTATTTCACCTCCCATCCTCAAACAATGCTCAGCGATGGCACCAAACAATCAGCTTAAATTGCACGTTGGCAACTACAAAGTAATTGAGATTTTTTTCAGATTAAAATAGATTGTGACAAACTAGGCTGACAGCTCCAAAGCAGCTGTTATGGTCTACAGTAAGCGTGGTGTGCATTAAAGAGCTCTTGACCACATACTTTTGCAAGAGACCTAATTGCTCTAAATGACCTGTTATGATCTATCAATTAAGTAATATATACTGTTAAGAAAGCAAGGATAAACCCAAAGGAATTATAATCTACTGCAGCAATTTTCATATTATTATACTTCAACAAGCATTTTTTTCTTTGAACAATTGCTTTCTATTTGCTTAATGCTGTTAATAAGAAGCATACAGCCAATACTGAATGACATGCTTAGAATTTTCAAAGTCTGCACAAAATACTACAGTAAATTTAAAACATCGTCTGTAGCTCATCTTGACAGGTTAGAGTTGTTACAGCATGAGTCTCACATTTATTTGCAACAGGAGCAAGAGGCATAACAAGTAACTGAATTTTCCTTGTTTTGTGATCATATCTTCACCATCCTGAGGATTGTTACTGTGATCTCCCCATGGGTTGATGTTCAGAGCAGGATTTCAGGTCCTAGCACTAGTTTTGTGGGTAGAATAGCTACTCTAACACTTACCTGCTCCAGCTATTTTACTGTTTCAGCACTAATTCTAATTTTAAAGCTGACCTGATTCTACTGGCAAGACCAGTCCTTTGGAATTTCCAAACTTTTTGATCATGCGCCCTTATCCATAAAATATTTTTGAGCATGTACCCCTATTACTGTACTAATATATTATGTACTTTGTAAAATATGCACAAAAATTAAGATTTAAAAAGGATGATATAAAGCTGGAATTAGCACTGGGTTTAATTCTTTTTAATTTTATTGATGGTATGAAAAGTATTTTCTTCCTTCCAATGGATTATCTGGTGTACTCAAATGCATGCCCCCTACTTAGGAGACCACTGCTTTAGTGTAACTCAAGGACACACCTCACTCCTCCCTTCTTTAAATATAATCTTTTGTGCTTTATTTTTCTCTCCATTACTCAGTTCTCCCCACATAGACATCCTAGTCAATATAGGAAGCGAAGGCCAATGAGACAGGTATATGACTTTTTCTTTCCCACTCACTCTTCACCTCGTTATTAAGCCTGTTACAGATACAGCATCTTAGTGACTACTGTGAATAAAATGGGGAGATTGTAATTATTCTTAGTACATCATGTGGTCTGACTGCTTTAGTAAACCCCTATAATCTGTAATGAAATTTGGTTTTACTCATCATTACAGGGTAGGGAAGGAGTTCTCTAGTCCTGGCCTGAAGTTACCTATGCACTCAGCTGCAGAGTCTAGTTTGCTCCTTCCCTTTATTTTAAGGAGAATTTACTCATGCTTCCTAGTGAATGGGAAGGGCCCTTACCTGAACCAGGTGGCATGCTGGCAGGCACCACACCCCTCCAACCAGTGCCTTTCCCAGCTGCATCTCACTGTTAATTGTCTTCTAGCACCTGAACTTGATCATCCACACAGATGTTTGGCTCCTCCTAGCTGTCACCTTCCTGGGCTCAAGGACTCCAGTTAACTGGAAGTACTTAGGCACTTAAGAGACCAGTGGTTTATGTCACAGGCTGAAGTGAAGAGAGGTAGAGCTTCCCCTATAGCCAAGTCTCCTAAAGCAGCAAAACTGCTCAGACCAGTTTTACTCATATTTACTTCTGCTGAGCAAGGGGAGAATTCTGCCAATCTGTCCGAGTTTAGTCTTAGAGGAAAGAATAATTATTTCTTGATTCATTCAGACAACCAGCTGAAAAGGGTTTTGTCTCCTTTCAGATTTGATTGTCTTCTTACAAATGCTGTGGACCTGTTGACAGCAGTGTAGGCAAACCTACTATTAATATATTTCTCTGGGTTTGTGACAGCCTCCTCCTTCTATCCCAGTCATGGTTTGATAGATTGGAAGAGTTTGGAACTGATGCTTTGGAGGAAAAGAAACCACATGCCAGCTCTAGAAAAGGCCAGTATTTAATTAAGGCTTTATGGAATTTTGTGGAATTTCTGGATACTACATATAATCTTAGGTTACTCAACATGTTCTTCTATTCTGTATTAATCCTTGTTACCTTGTCTTTGAAGGAATATTGATTATGTAGAAGTATTCTTGAAATAAGAGGTTTTAAGAAATATCTTGGAGGAAGAATTTGAGATTACAGAATCACAGAATCGTCTAGGTTGGAAAAGACCTTGAAGATCATCCAGTCCAACCATCAACCCAACATTAACATTTCCCAACTACACCAGATCCCTCAGTGCTATGTCAACCCTACTCTTCAACCCCTCCAGGGGTGGGGACTCCACCACCTCCCAGGGCAGCCCATTCCAACTCCTAACAACCCCTTCTGTAAAGAAATGCTTCCTGATATCCGGTCTAAACCTTCACTGGTGCAACTTGAGGCCATTACCCCTTGTCCTATCACTTGTTACTTGGTTCAAGAGGCTCATCCCCAGCGCTCTGCACCCTCCTTTCAGGGAGCTGTAGAGGGCCAGGAGGTCTCCCCTCAGCCTCCTCTTCTCCAGACTAAACCCCCCCAGTTCCCTCAGCCGCTCCCCATCAGACCTGTGCTCCAGACCCTGCCCCAGCTCCGTTGCCCTTCTCTGGACACGCTCGAGTCATTCAATGGCCTTTTTGGGGTGAGGGGCCCAAAACTGAACACAGGAATTGAGGTGCGGCCTCACCAGTGCCGAGTACAGGGGTGAGATCCCTCTCCTGTCCCTCCTGGCCACGCTATTGCTGACAGAAGCCAGGATGCCATTGGCCTTCTTGGCCACCTGGGCACACTGCTGGCTCCTGTTCCGCTGGCATCACCAAGCAACAGCAACTCTGGTCCCTCTCTGACTGGCTATTCCATGATTGCTGCATGGAAAACATTTGCCAGCAGCCATTTACTCTCTAGTGGCTGATGATTAAGCCACTGCACAAGAGTGAAAAGAAAGTAAAGAACAAGATAGGAGAGCAGAAACAGCATGGATTGTGCAAAGCTGGTAAGGAAGACAAGTGACACGCCATGATGGTCAAGGTAAGGGGGTGTGAGTGTGATAGAAATATGTTCTTCTGTATCTCATAAAGTTTGAAACCTGCATTTAGGATCTGTTGGAGTGCATATAGCATAGCTGGTGAAGAGGGGAGAGAATGGGGCTGTTTCTTCTGCTCAGTGATTAGACTGTGAGGAGGAGGAGAATAACCCGAATGAGTTTATATTGCCTAGCTCAGCCATGTACTTCCCTATAGTCTTTATTATTTGTTTGTGTTGTAACTTGTTACTTGCTTTATCTCCTTTGCCATTTCACAAAGAGGAAAGGGCAGCTTGGTTACTATTAGCTAATTTGTGTGGCTGATCTCCTTGACAGAGCAAGTAACAGTGGGAAGAAAACTAACCCTTGGTGGGAAGGGTGAGAGATCCCCCCTTGCTGGAGGATGTGGCAGGGAAGGGGTGTACCAGGAACTGCAGAGGACGCACTATTGTGGTGTTGGCTCTTGTGCAGGGTAGATCTCTATGGGAAGAGATCTCTTGGCTCACTTTTGTGCAAAGGTGGAGTGTTATGTCTGTGTTACAGAGAGATTTCTTGTGGATAAAATGGGAATGTTGGTTGTGCATCTAGAGAACAATGAGCAGATTTGAGGGTGCTTGGAGTCCTGCTCTTGGTTCCCTTGTGTCAGATAGTGAGCTCGGTGGTGTAACACAAACCAGTTTGTGACTACAGCAAACAAGGATTGGGGAAGTCAGCTGTCCTCATCTGTGATTCAGGATTTCTTAGCGTTTCCGTAAGTGGCCTTCCAGGATACCTGATGCTTTCTGGACTGTGACATGTAACTGACACTAAAATAAATTAAGGGGAAATCTGAGAAGGTATGATATGGGGAAGGAAAGAAGTATTTGCATTTCTATCATAATCCAAGCAAAAAATACTAGACTATAGGTAAAGGTTTGTGACTATCTACTTCTGCTGTTAGTCATTACCATGGGTCCCTTTGTTTAAAAAGGTGGGGCCTGGGCTCTGAGACTGCAAGGGTCTGTGTTCAAACCATGCAAACAAGTATCATCCTGAAGTATTAAATTCTGCAACAACATATGTCATTCATCTAACAAAAAAAAAAAAAAAAAAAAAAAAAAAAAAAGTAGACCATCAAAGCTGTTGCAATTAGGGTTTGGCTCTAGATCCAAAATATTTATGAATTGACACTGACGTTGTAAGTCTCTTATGAAACATTCATTCACAAGTTTGATTATTAAAAAAATGTCATTTACAGAAGAAATAAGTTATGAAGGAATCAAATTTCATACAAGGAACCCTGGAAAACAAGACCACAGATGACAAAACATACTATTTAGAGCCCAGATGGTTGCATAAAATAAATAGCCGTTTCCTCAGTGGAAGCATAGGCAATTTGGCTGTGTGAAGCTACAATTCCAGCAGAGATCCTTGAAACAGATGTTAATATTGCTTGTGCATGGAAACTTTAGTAAAAAGCAAGATGTTCAGGTAACTTGAATGTAATGACTGACGACCTCAGATTTCTTTGTCTGTAGGAGATATGCACTTAAAACCATAATGTGACTGTTGTAGAGCCTGGAACATAAATATCTATATGCACGTTATGATGAGCTAACAGATGTGGCTGCCTCGGATGTTTGAGATGTTTTGGTAATTTTCCTTTTGTTGTAACTGGTAGCCTAGTGCAATACTTCTAAAGCAAGAAGAACAATTCAAGCTGAACCTAAATATAAATAGGTAGGGATATGTAGATATAGGCACAGATAGTTATAAAGGTATAATGTCTTTGCTTGTATAGAGCAGAAACAATGAATTAATGATTTATCTTCTTTGTGTCATATTAACTTAAAAACTGTCCTGTGTTAATGTGTCTGTCTTTAACAAGACTGTATTATCATTTCTGATCCACCTGGTCAGGCTGAGTAACCCCCTAATTTTAGTAGGAGCAAGCCCTACTCATCCTTTCCTTAGGTGGTTATATTAGTGACTCCAGCTTATCCTAAGAAATGTGAATGACAGAAGTACATTTTCTGGAGCCAGTTCTAAGAGTTTCTCAGTAGAATGTGTTTTTTTTCCATATAGTAAGAAAGAAGAGTGACAATTTTGCAAAATCTGTGGTTCCAGTTCTTCTTCAAAAGTTCTCTTGATTTCCGTTTAGTAAGTGTGTCACAACAGTTTGACGGTAGTAAGGCACATCTCGTATGGTTTGCACTTGTGTAACGTTCTGTTGGTTGTTCCAGTGGAAACCTATTCCACGGAGACTGTAAATGCAGAACTTGCACAATGGCTTACCGTGTCCTTGAGTGGCTAATGGGAGTGCTGTTGTTAGCTCCAGTGCATGCCAGAGCAGGGGGCAAGGTCCTTGTTTTGAAGCGGTAAGGA